GGGGCTAAATGTGAGCCAGTAACTGAACTGGGTCTAAAACATCATTGGGCAATTCGTGCGTCTCCAAAGGTGGTTAAACTACAACTCCTAGGAGACCCATCCAGCTCAGCCAATGGCATGGGATCATGGGAGCTGAAGTCCAACAGCATCTGGAGGGCCAAAGATGGTCCATTCTAGTCTTAAAAGGGGCAGAAGAACTGACTCTGGCTCTGCGTGCAATCCGGTGAGACTCTGGGTCCCCCCAGACATCTGATCAAGAGTCTTTTGGAGAGCGGATGCTGTCAACACTCATCTTACGCTCAACCTGTTTATATATGTAAATAAATCTTATATAATAGAAAGACTGCAGGTCTCTCACGTCCTCTTTCTAAGGAGACCAAAGGATGAGTGAGCACTAGAGAACCCTAGGACTTCTCACATAGAAGTAGGATGGGCAGAGGCAAGATAATACGTAACAGAATAAAAGAGGCATTTGTGACCAAGATAAAGGGAGTAAGGACATTTTAAAAACCCTACACCTCTTGGCTTAGTGTAGGCACAAAGAACAGGTGGTTGCAACTGAAGAATCCGCAAGGACCGGTGCAAGGGAACTGAGCGGCAACATGTCATTTTATCCTTTATTTCCTCACCCCTCTTTCTGAGAAATAACTCATGGAAAGAGGCAGAGGTACAAATACCACCCTTAAGTCAGTGTTCCTGCTCCCACTGCTACACATGGTTGGGTAAAGGAAGGAACATATGGTTGTTCCTGCCCTCCCTACCCCCTGGCAGGCCAACCCACTGACCCTCATTGGCTTCAATGTATTCTCTACCATATCTAGCTCCGCTCTCAACATGAACGATCCTTTCGCATTCAGGAATTAAGGACAGGATTTCAGTCCAATCACAGACCTATGAGAAGGCGCACACCCTTGTGGAATGGGGGATAGGGTGGGAATCTTGTGCAATTTTTGCCTGGCCTGGCTTCTCGTTCTCTGCAAGGCAATCATGCTTGAAGATAAGAAATGGCTCTTGCAGAGAACGTACCCAAGGGAGCATCTCTTCGCGACTCTTGATGCTGAAGAGATGGAGGATGGGCTACTTGGCTGAGGAGTGAGGCCAGTGGCATGCATTCATTTGCCTGATTGCAGTAAAAGAACTAGGCTGGTCCTAGTGAGGTAAACCCCCAGGTGGAATCCTCCAGCTTTCCAGTACATCTACTTGTATCTGCTCTAGGTTGTCAGCAACCTCTCCGTTGTATTCTCGAAGGCTTTCATGGCCAGGATCTGATGGATCTGATGGCTGTTGTGGGTTTTTTGGCCTCTTTGGCCTTGTTCTGAAGGTTGTTCTTCCTAATGCTTTACCAGTCTCTGTGGCCGGCATCTTCAGAGGACAGAAGCCAGAGCACAGACAGAGTTCTGACTCCTGTCTTCTGAAGATGCCGGCCACACAGACTGGTGAAACGTTAGGAAGAACAACCTTCAGAACATGGCCAAAGAGCCCGAAAAACCCACAACAACCAACCTCTCCATTCCTTGCATCAATTGGGAGAAAAACAGGCAGCCAAGCTTTAAAGCCATTCCACACACACACACAACTTTCTCTTCCCCCAGTGTCACTCCTCCTGAGATACCCAGGGGCTCAGAGACAGGAAGAGGCAGAGGAGTTCCCTTACATTTCAATAGGCCCCCTCAGACCTGGCAACCGTCTGCAGTGGGACACTTTCCAGCTGATTTTAACCATTGACTGGGCCTCAGAGCTACTTAGCAATTATGCCACGGCAGTAAAGCAGTTCCACTCAAGAAAGGCCCATGAAGCTGGCTTTGGGGGACTTCAAGAGAAACAGCACTAAGCCTAGATCCGTCATGACTAAAGAATTTATCCAGATATAAAAGGAGACACAAAAGCGTTCTGAGCCCGTAATGCGGATATGCCCTCTAAATGAGCACAACAGGCATGCTCTCATCCCTATGCCTCACTGAGAACATCAGTTTTATCCGGGGGGGGGGGACAGAGGGGATCATTCCCAATGGAGACTTATCCGTGCCCACACCAGGTTACAATTACCGAGATTCTCAGTAAGAAGTCATGGCTGTTTGGCCAGCATAAACCTGCTGTATGTGCAGTGGGCATCAGCGAAGATGACCAAATAAAACAAAGCTCTGAAGCATTCATCCAATCGATGTAGAAATATACTTGCCAGAATATTTAATTTTATTTTTCCCCTCCTTCAAAAGATGGAGGGATTTGCCTCGATGTGGCCTCACACTTACCTACAACGAGCTTTTAGCTCATTTTTCATGGCTTCATTCGGCATAATTCCACTCTTGGTTCGCAAAAGCATCCTTCCCCCCCCCCAACATCGTCAAAGTGAGCATCTGTTGCTATAGCGCCTCCGTGAGATTTCCTAGACGACCACAGAGGTGCCGAGGGTGCTTTCCGTTGGCCGCCCACGCCACTTAATTTTCAAAAAAGACTTTCATTTTTTTTAAGGGAGAAAGTAGCACCGAGGAGAGGCCTTAAGGCCGAAAATGGATAGGATGGCTGTCAAGAACAACAGGATGACCCCTGCCAGGTTCTATGGAATTTAGACCAATGTGTCTTTTTGCGAACATGGTATGTTTTCTCTCCTTCCAGCTGAAGTGGGAGACGAGTGCACTGTTCTCAGCTTTGAGGAACAACAGCAGTAAAGGAGCCACACAAAGCTGTATTGTCCTCGTCGTTGAGCTGCGAGGGTTCGGATATCACAGTAATGAAGAAACCAATTAATCAAAGAGGGCTCATGAGCAATATACTTCACGGAGGAAGAAAGGCTTTAATCTAGGCAAAGTTTAGTCACTAGAATTACCCAGCAATGTGTTAGTCTGTGGAACTCCTTGCCACAGGATGTGGTGATGATAGGCATCTGGCCTTGGTGCCTTGAAAAGGGGATGGGACAGATTTCTGGAGGAGTAGTCCATCGCAGGTGACAAGCCATGATGGGGATGTATGATCTCCAGGCTTAGAAGGAAGGGACCTCCAAATGCCAGATGCAGGAGAGAGGTATCAGGAGACAGGTCTCTGGTTGTCTCGTGTGCTTCCAAAGGCATCTGGTGGAGCCACTGTGAAATACAGGAAGCTGGACTAGACCCTTGGCCTGATCCAGCAGGGCTGTTCTGATGTTCTTAACTGGACATCCATCCTTCACCTCCTTTAGCCTGAATTCTTTAACTGGACGTCCATCCTTCACCTCCTTTAGCCTGAATTCATATCAGGACCTCTAGTAGTCAGTCTTCAGCTCTCCCTCTGCAGTGAGAGGGTTGGGTCTCCTCTCCATCTAACCAACCTCAAGGAGCCACACCATCTCCTCACATCACTCTTTTCACTTGAGGTGTGCCTGCAACTTCATCCATGCCCCTGGATCCTGCCCAGAGCTTGGAAACATGATCTTTTTTTAAGGACGAGAACACGGTCAGAGGTGGGGTGTCTCGGGCATTCCCAGAGTCCTGGTCCAAAAAAGAGAGGAATGCGTCCAAGCTATAGTCCTACCTTTGGTCCAGCCGATCATAGCATCACCCGGGTCAGACCGTCACTGCATCACCTGTAGCCCCACGTTGGACAGACTGGTCTACCATTTGCTGCAGTAGACAGAATTTTAATGCACTTCAAATTCTTTTTAAATATCCACACAGTGGGATTTTTTTAAGTCCTATCAAAGCAGAAGTGGCTTGCAATTCACTTTTATTCCATAATAACAGGGCAAAAGCTTCTCCTCTCTGAGAATATGTAAGGTAAAATTATAAACAAGCCAGGTTTTTTGAGGGGGGGGCGTTGATTGGTTTCCATATCAATTTAATTTTCTCTATTGGACTAAATATGACAGATTTGCTGAAACATATACATATGCAATGTTGGGATTCTAGCTCCATTATGTACGTTGCAATTTCCCATTACCTTTTGTCCTGTATTCCTGCATAGCATCTGCGCTTTTCTTTCATAATGGAGCAACAATTTCCTTTCTGCCACCCCCGTTCTCTGAGAAATCATAATGAATGCAGGAAGTGTGATATTGTACTGAACTAGAAAACTTGCATCAAAACAACATTTAAAAAAACTAAGATCATGGCCACTGGTCCCCTCACCTCCTGGCAAATAGAAGAGGAAGATATTGAGGCAGTGTGACAGATTTTACTTTCTTGGGCTCCATGATCACTGCAGATGGTGACAGCAGCCACGAAATTAAAAGATGCCTGCTTCTTGAGAGGAAAGCGATAACAAACCTAGACAGCATCTTAAAAAGCAGAGACATCACCTTGCCAACAAAGGTCCGCATAGTCAAAACTATGGTTTTTCCTGTAGTGTTGTATGGAAGTGAGAGCTGGACCATAAATAAGGCTGACCGCCGAAGAATGGATGCTTTTGAATTGTGGTGCTGGAGGAGACTCTTGAGAGTCCCCTGGACTGCAAGGAGAACAAACCTATCCATTTTGCAGGAAATCAGCCCTGAATTCTCACTGGAAGGACAGATCCTGAAGCTGAGGATCCAGTACATTGGCCATCTTATGAGAAGAGAAGACTTCCTGGAAAAGACCCTGAGGTTGGGAAAGTGTGAGGGCAAGAAGAGAAAGGGACAACAGAACTGACCTAACTGACGTAATTGGTTCCATTGTTCTAACTATGGAACCAATTACCTCAAGAGGTGGTGACTGCTCCCATTCTGAAGGCATTCAAAACAAAACTGGACCACCATCTGTCAGAGCTGCTTTGATTTGGATTCTTGCCTTGAGCAGGAGGTTGGACTCGAAGGCCTTAGAGCCCCCTTCTATTAATCTTCAGCTCTGTGATTTGAAGATCTGCTTAGGTCAGTGTTGGCAAAGTTGCAGCCCTTCAAATATCACTCAGATTCCAACTCCTAGCATGCCAAATACACATAGTCATGATAAGGGACGATGGATGCTATAGTTCACCAGTGGAACAACAACAGGAAAGGAAACATCCGTCTCTGCATCCGAAAACAATTCAAACATAGAAAGCAGACCTACCGTGTCATCCGCCATTGGTTTCTCCGTGAAAACAGGGGGCAACAGCACCTCCGTGGGAGTCGTAGGATCTGGACTTCCTCCGCCTCCGATCAGGGAAACCACGCCGTTGCAATCCACCGAGCTGTTCCTCTTGCCATTGAGTGTGTACTTTGGGGAGCTGTGGCTCGTTTGACTCAGCGCACTCAGCCGCCTCCCGTTCCTCGGAACCAGCAAGGACCCGTGTTGGCTCTCACTCTCCCCGACGGTACTGATGTCGTCATCGGCGAAATCTGCCTCCGAACCGAGGTCCCTACTCCGCAGCCGGAAGCTGAAGACACTGCCGTGGCTGGCCTTGCGCTTCGTGGAGTTTTCCATGGACCCCGAGGTAAAGCCCAGGACAGTCTTGAAGCAAAAGGGTGGGAAAGGGTTAGAGGAGCAAAAGGGTTAGAAAACTGCAAATTTTTTACAACCGATGCATTCAACGTTGGGAAGATGTCCAATTCTACTCTCATCAATGAACAGCAGCACACCTTTTGTTATCATTCAGTTTTATGGAGGATAGTGAAGGCGAGGCAAATGGCTTGTTCCAGACTGCTAGGATGCCCCACGACAACAGCCAGCGATTGGGCTGAATGCTTCTCCTGCCCCTTGCACAAACAATAGAGAGTGCATACGGTAGTCCTCATGGGGCTGGTTCTAGCTGTGTGGCACCCAGTTGCCGATCCTGACAGTGAATGCATTTTAACACATGTTCTCGGGCAAAACTGCTTCTCTACTGCTTCTCAATGTATATCAATTGAAGCCAGAGAGAGGGACCAGGTGACTTTCCAAATGCTGCCTTACTATCGCCTCCATATCACTGGCTATTCTGACCAAGGCTGATAGGAGTTGCGGTTCAACTGTTGGGCCACTTGTTCCCCATCCATGCTCTAAACATCCTGAACATAGTTCCAGCAGTATGTACTCCTCCCAAGCAAGATCCAGATATTTGAAGAGTTCATGTTGTTTCTGTGCATGTAGCATTTCCTTCTCCATGTTCCCACCTCTTATGTCCATTTGTACTGCACATAAATCCTCATGGGTCACCCATTATCTCTTCTTGCCCATACAGATTCCCACTGTGAGCCCAGGAAACTAAAATCTGAACCCCTTTATCCAAATATCCAGTTAACACATACTGTGGGACAGACCTACAGACGTATTAAAAGAGGACATTATTTACTCCTGAAAGCCATCTAAGTACACAGCTGGAGCTTTTCTTATCTCCACTAATTTGTAAATGTGCTTGTTTTGTCTTGTGACTGATCTTCAGGACTGAAGCATGAGATTCCTTTAAAGTCTGATCTGCCCAAGACAAGTCTTCCTGAGTCACGTCTCTCCGACATGCTTTCCTCTCTAATCACAAGCTATGTATAATACCTGTTTCTGCCCTAAGTCACGGACCTACCTAGAGGTGGGCACAAACGGCTAGTTCAGCTTGGTTTGTTTCCTGGCCAAAGAGCTGATTTGTGGGTCGGTGGCCAGCCCCTTCCCGTGGGCACTCAGTCACTGTTCAGTTGGGAAATGAACCACACCGAACCGCCAAACCAGAGGTTCATGCGCATCTATAGTCCTTTCTAAGAGGAACCATTTGGTATCTCTTAGCTCCATGGACTGGATCTCGTGGTTTCTCCCTCACCCCATAAAAACTATCCCAATCTTTTTCATGTTGAGAAACAACCCTAAGGCAGCACACAGGTATAGCCATGGCAACTTCCTCAATCAGGATAATGGCTAGAGAAAGCAACTGGCAATCATTGCAAGACATAATGGTCTATACTGGTTTCATGGACCCCACAGAGGAATTCTCCAGCACCGATGAGTTTGAGCCCCCAAAACTGAGAACGGGGAGGAAATTACTGCCAACGGCAGTAATTTACCTATATGGTAAAAGAGGAAATGCTGTGGGGAAGCAATGCAAAAAAGATAAGGAATTGATCAGGCATGGCAGGACAAGCATAGGGAAGGCTGTGGTACCCAAGAATAATAGGAATGACTAGAGATGAGCATGAACCAGGTCTTCCCAGTTCATAAAGGCTCTCCTGCCTCCTTTGGCTCAACCGGTCCCTCACCAGGCCCAGCCTGCGAGCTTCCTGCACTTCCTCCACTGATCTCCCGGTCCCGGCAACAGCTCAGGCTTTTCTGTCCCGCCCTCTCGGCTGATCTCCCAATCAGAAGTCTGTGCTCTTGCTGGCGACTGGGAGATTAGCCGAGGAGGCAGGGAAAGCAAGCAAGCTGGGCCTGGTGAGGGGCTGATCGGCTGAGGAGGCAGGGGAGGGAAGCCGCAGCACCTGTGCTGCCACCTTTACAAACTCTCTGTTCTTCACATTGGCCATCCTACTCTGCCTGACCTTGCATTGACCTTCATTTCACCTCTTGGAACGTTCCTACCTATTTGTTGTGACTAGCATCTGGACTGGTTAGATCCTGAATTGTAATTAACCTTTGGATCCTCCTCACTTGGTGTATGTTTCTCTCTTGTTCAATCTTGGCATCATTTGCCAGACCTTTCTTTGCCTGGCCCGACTGTTTATGATGCCGTCCTTTCCCCTTCCTCAGCTTCTGGAGACTTAAACTCATCCTTGTTGAAGGACACCCCCCCTCAAGCAGGGACATGACAGCCAGCAACATAACAACCAGGAGTGTCTTCTTCTTCCGCATGTACAAGTGTACGCTGCCCCACAAGGTGCTACATGGAGGAAATTAAGCAAGATCAGGGGCCAGCACCACAATTCAACACAATAACGGAAACAGGACAGGGACACAGAAAAGAATGATGGCAAAGAAGAAGAAGCAAATGTTTCAAGTTGTTCACAAGCAAACAACCTGGTTTCTGTGATCATGTAATTGAAGCAGGCTCCTCTTGTCAGTACCATTAGGGGAGAGTGAAGGTCAGAAAATTATCTGCACCAAGATGACTTGCTTCGCTCATTTCCGAAGGTGCTCGGCGCATCATCCAGCCTGGCCGTCCTCTTTGGCACATGCTTTGTGCAGATGACAAATGCGCGGACGCAAAATGAAAAGACGACTCATCTGCTGAAGGAACACGCTGGGAAGAATGTTGCTTCCCTCCGCGTCCAGCCTGACATTTTTTTATTTAGCCTGCCAAAACCCATTCAGAGCACAGCGGCTCGCTCAGCCGTTTTGGCATGAACAATCTTGTAATTAGCAAGGCAACACACTCAATTAAACAATAAGAAAGCCTCTCACCAAAAAGGGGAGGAGGAGGAGGAGAAGGAGGAGGAAGAAGAAGGAGAAGAGATCCCACAGGAAAAAAAAACAATATAACACAAAATCCATTCATGTATTCCTGTGACAGAAGAGTTGTTCCAGATAGTTGTATGTCTGATTTACATCACTTATTGATCATCTTGGTTTCTATCCTTTGCATATTTTCAGCTTGTCAACTCTGGGATGAACAACTAAATACCAGGATAATTTTATGTGACCTGTTAATTTGTCAACACTTGAGAAGCTCTGAGCTAATGCTACTGGGGAAAGAACTGGGAGCCACGGAGAGAGGCAACCCTGATGAGATGAAAACAGCGCCCTATACCAAGTCAGAAAACTGGCAGTTCTAAGACTCCTATTGTCCACTCTAGCAGGCAACACATCTCTAAGCCTCAGACAGGAAACAAACTTCCCTGTTCCTGATATGATACAGTATTCCCTATTCCTGATCCTCTCCTGAGGCCAAGAACTAAACTGAAGGCTTTCCACACATAACACAGGAATCTTAAATCGGAGTGAAGAACTTTGGCCCTCTATATGTTTCCAATAACCTTTTACCAGTGGACATTCTGGTTAGGACTTCCGAGAACTGAATTCCAAACAATCTGAGGAATCAAGATTCCAGGTTTAGGTGTTTAAAAAGATAAGAGATGCACTTGGAATCAAGCTCATTCTTTAAAACTGAGAATTTCATAGGGTTTTCAGGGTACAAGATATATTTAAGAGGTAGTTTTTCCCCATGCCATCTGCCAGTGAGTTTCCATAACTGAGCAGAAACCAGACTTCCTGACCCTCAGTCCAACACTCTATCCATTACGTTAAACTGACTCTCCATTAAGTAACCTAAAGACCAAAGGCTCTAGACCAGTAGTCCCCAACCTTGGGCCTCCAGATGTTCTTGGACTACATCTCCAAGAATCCTTCAGTACCACTGCTGGCCAGGATTTCTGGGAGTTGAAGTCCAAGAACATCTGGAGGCCCAAGGTTGAGGACCACTGCTCTAGACCATTCCCAAAACCTTATCAAGAGTTCCCCGCCCCTATATCTCTTAATTAAATCTGGATCCTGCAGTCCAGGAATAAAATCCTGCCTACAAGTAGAACGATTATTGTTTCCAATGGAACTTGCACAGGAATGTTCGCTTTAGGCAAAGACTAACCATCCTTCGTTGGCCATCCTCCGATTCAGATACTGGAGCTTTTGGATCTTCCCCATCGTCTTCCGCACCTGAGGATTTCTTTTTCCTTCTTCTGCTCCTTCGTTCTTTGGAATGTTTCGATGCCAAAGGGGACATTTCAAAAGAGCTAAGCGACGCCGAATCGATTCCTCGAGCTAATGCCTGAAAAGATGGGAATGAAGTAGAACATACGCTACTGTCTTTGATGGCCATATATGCAGACTTTTTAACCATGCCTGGGAGTTACCCTTGTATATTCTCAATTGAGCCAAAGCTCAAAGCAAACCTAGACTTCCTTCTCAAGCAACCTGGAGCAATTTCAAAAAAAGGCACATGAGTTTTGAGATGATAGCTGAATATTCTCAGGGAAGGAGTGTACATTTTTATTTATATTGATAAGTGTACCACTTTATACAGGTAGAGTTTAAATTTAGGTGAGAGCAGAAAGGTTTAGTAAGAGAACTTTCAACTAGAATTGTAGGGATAGGAAAGGAAACATGCTCTGGGTGACCCCTTCTCATTATTATTTTTTTCCTTCTGTTGAAGCCACCAGTTTTTCAGGATATGCCTCTAGTTTCGAGTTGTGCTTCTCTAAGGTAAATGGCAAATGCCATCCTGCCAGAAATCCCCCAGAGGTGTTGTGCATGATGACACAACCTTGTTTTGAGGCTTTGAAAAGTGCCACAAAAATGGCACCTCTCCTGACAAAGCCATACCATTGTGTTCTCTTTTGCCTCAGTTTTTCTCCTGGGGGAAAAAAGAAAATCACCCAGATCCTCTTATCTGCCATGTTGCCACCTGCAGATCAAGAAAGCTTGGTTTTACTGGGCCTGTGATAGTATTACTGTGGTGCCACTAAAACATATAGTGTATACTCCTATTGGGGCCAAACCATAGATAGCTGGGGAGCCAGATGGGCAAAAGGCATCAACAATAGGAAAATAAAGCCCAAGCTGGAAATCTTTCATGTCTACAGTCCAGTAGATAATCTGGAGCTGCTCTAGAACCGGTGAATATTTTACTGGCTGCAAAGGTTCCAAACTCCAAGTCTAGCAGCTCACCACATAAGACAGTAGCCCACAAAAATCAAGAGTTGCTGATTTTTGCCCAAGGATGGGGAACACGTGGCCCTCCAGATCTCATTGGATTGCAGCTCCCACTAGGGAGGGCCATACATTATCCATCCTTGCCCTAGACTCAGCTGTAGCTGACTGCTTACAAGGCTGGTGGAATGTCACGCATGACGAATGCCTTGCCAAGAAATCACGACCATATAGAAAAAGTGTGCGCACACCATGTACACTTATGGGTTCAACAACTCTGCATGCAATTATTTCTCCACATGATGACGTGTCAGGCCAGTCATAACACAGGGGATATGCACAGCACAGAGAATCACTGTGGCAATCTTATACATGAAGTCACTCTCAACTTCCGACTACTTATAGTCACTTGGGTTTACTGGCAGCAGATGTGTTGAATGTCTGTTAAAAACAGGGACTTGGTTCTTTTATTGTTAATATTATTATTATTATCCTCTTCATCAAAAAAATATTCCCATGCTTACCAGAGAAATTAATGGCTTTTTATTCAATGTTTGCTACCCTTGCCATTAGTTCGAGTTAATTAGCATTCTTTTCAGATTTGCTCTATTGATCTTCCAACTTCAAACAGCCATTAGTATCCCATTATTCAACAAGCAGAATAGGGATGGTGGAAGGAGTCGGCTGTTTAAATGTCGCCAGGGTTGCCCTTGTGGAAATAAAACCACCCATCCACTACGCATCAAACCTCTCCCCCAGGATAGAGATGCAATGCAATAGCTCTGATTCATACAAGTGAAGATGCCGTCATCTGCTTTAGGATGGGTGGCCCTCAGGAAACATGACTCTTATGAGTTGATATGAATTAAATGAGCTGCCTCTGTGGGAGGGCAACATCCCTTTCTATATGTATGAGAGGGAAGTCCCAAACTATTAAAGTTCCTTCCTTAGGATGTTTGACTTGACCCTTCCCTCTTCTCCACCTGCTGGCCCCTGAAAGTCCACCTCTTTAGATATGCTTTTGGGGAGCCAACTGGCAATAGAGAAAAGGAGATTTATTGGGCTTTTAAAGCTTGTTTGGTACTTTAAAAAATATTTGGGTATTCTGAAAAATATTTGTATTTCATAGTTCTAAAATTTGAATGTGCATTTTTAATTATTCGTAGAGCTTATTTTTAAGCCACCTTGGCTGACCTGAATGTTCTAATGGCCAATCCACCGGTACATTTAGACTGCAGGTGGGCAACAACAAGCTTTTGCCATCCTGACAAAACTGGAGGTGGAGACAGTAGGAGTGACTGTGAACATCACCCTGAGCATCTTGGAGGAAAGATGAGCTTCAATGTAATAAATAAGTAGAAATATCCAGAGTAGTGCATAGCACTAATGGGGTGACATATACGTCCATCTGTCCGTCCGTCCACTCGTCCAACCAACCAACCAACCAACCAACCAACCAACCAACCAACCAACCAACCAACCAACCAACCAACCAACCAACCAACCAACCAACCAACCAACCAACCAACCAACCAACCTCCCTAGAAACAATCAACTTAGTAAATTCCAGAAATGTATGGCTTCACTTTCCATACTGCACAGATATGGAAGGTAGTTTAACCTAACCTGCAGGGGGGAAGATAGTTTAACCTAATGCACTAAGTTGTTATTGCCTTCTCAACTAACCGCTTCTTTATGAATGGTAGAGTTTTGCTGTTGTTTCCATATTCAGTCATAGTATCAAGATAGCATTCCTTCCCTCCCCACTAAATTTGACTTCAGAACTATTTCTAGCACCTCTTGGTGTTATCAGACTTTTCCTGCAGCGATCCTTCCAGATAGCTGACGCAGAGAGCATGCAGCTCAGGCATGTAGAGGCAAAAAGGCCATCTTATCTCTCTGTTATATATGTGTAGGCTGTTGATGTTCTTTAAGGCCAGGGTTTCTGTTTATTGCTCTGGATCCATGGTCACAGCAGGTTCTGTCACTTTGTGGGATAAGATTTTGGCTGCCAATAATAATAATAATAATAATAATAATAATAATAATAATACCATCAGAGCTACAAAAATCAGCAATATTAGGAATAGCATACATACTGCGCCAGTATTTAACAGATACTTAGGTGTTCGGTTAAAACCTGTATCTGTTATATAATACCAGTCAACTTTTTTATAGTTTTGATTGACTGCGTCTGGTGTTTTTGAATAATAATCTGCATCAGCAGAAATAGCACAGGCTGCATTGCTGTTTTCCTGGGTAAACCAGAGATTACACAGAAAGGGACCTCATGGCAGGGAGCATTGCCTCTGCCCAAATGTTTGAAAGTTCTCTGCACTAGCACATGGCTTTTGAGCACAAGTTTGGTGGTTGCTTAACCATAGTTTAGAGAGCTGTGGGAAGAGAACCAAATTTCATACTTCATCTCAGTCACAAACTGGCTGACTGCCCATGATCGAGTATCTTCCAACCAGGCCCTTCTCCAGACCTGCCACCATACAGTTCCCATCTTCCCTAGCTTGCACCCTAGCAGTGCTATAGGGAGTTGTGATCTTGCAATCCACTGGATAAACGTTCTGCCTTGGTCATGATGATTAGGCATCCTTCAGTCTTGAGAGACTATGGTAACATGCTCTGAATAGACTTGGAACAGCGTCTCGTGTGATTGAGAAGGCCAGCTGCCTTGGTCAAGTGGCGGTGTTAACCTAATTTACATGACCACTGAGCTGACACTTCAGTTTGCAATGCAAAATTCCCCTTCACCATGTGCATCGGTGAGGGTACACGATGGGCACACCAAATGGAGGCTGCTGAGCATAATGGCCTGATTTGTGCAATCTTCCTTCTGGGGTTGTGAGGAAGGATTTTTTATGCTAGGTACCCTGTATACTTGAGAGTCCCCTGGACTGCAAGGAGATCAAATCTATCCATTCTGAAGGAAATCAGCCCTGAGTGTTCACTGGAAGGACAGATCCTGAAGCTGAGGCTCCAAGACTTTGGCCATCTCATGAGAAGAGAAGGATCCCTGGAAAAGATCCTGATGTTGGGAAAGTGTGAGGGCAAGAGGAGAAGGGGACGACAGAGGACGAGATGGCTGGACAGTGTCACCAAAGCAACCAACATGAAATTGACACAACTACGGGAGGCAGTGGAGGATAGGAGGGCCTGGCGTGCTCTGGTGCATGGGAAGATGAAGGGTCAGACACGACTTAATGACTGAACAACCACAACCCTGTATATGGGTCTCTGCACTGATAGCAGGAGTTAGTTGTGCCTCTCTGTGCATGGAGGCAATGCCAAGGAATGGTCCTGTGTCCTAAGACCTATTGACAGGACAGCCATCACCTCAAATTCATGTGCCTTCTTTCCTGTTTCAATTCTAAGGCTGCACATTCTTCAGACATATGGAGGACTCCCCTGCAGGAAAGTGTAACACATTCTGGCATATTTTCCTCGCCTCTGATTGCTGTGAGATTTTTCACCCCTACAGGGAGTTAAAAAGACCGCCACCATTTTCCCCACAAGGAACAGCTTTTGGAAAGGAATATATATATATCACCTTCCAGTTTTGAATTTAAAACCCACATATTAAAAGCCTTGTTGTTTTATGCAAAGTACAAGCTTTTCTGCACAAAATGCCTTTGTCTGTGTATGTGTGCAAAAAAGCACTTCCGTGAACTTTTTACAAAAAGGTAAAAAAAATGTGGAAAATGCAAAGGAAGGAAGGAAAGAAGAAAGGAAGGAAGAACAAGAGAAGCAGAGATTCAAGTTCCTACTGCTGAAAAAAAGACAAATCAAGTTTGTTCTGTGTTGCAACAGAGACCCAAAACTAGAATGAATGAGTGGAAATAGTAGGGAAGAAAATCTGAGAGAGACATCAGGAGAAAATTCCTGACAGCAAGAGTCATTAAGAGTGGAACAGCCTCCGTTGGGAAGCAGAAGGCTGTCCATCACAAGGATTTAGGTTGAGACTCTGAGGCCATCTGCTAGAGATTCTGTTGTTCCAAGATTTCCACACTGCAATGAATCAGCAGCATTTTAGAGATGACTTTCCTCTCTAGTATTCTTTAGATTCAGCTGTGCTATGCAGATATATTCTTGCCTTTTTGTGATGCTAACACTGGAGTAGGGCCTCGGTCTTTACTCAAAGCAGTGGGCTGCAGTTACTAAATGACATGCAATGATCTTTGTGAACTCATCACTTACAAGAACGAAGAGGTTGCACAGGCTCTGGAGAGGAAAAAGTAACATTTAGAAGCAGGAGCAAAAAGTGCTGGAAAGCACGGAACGCCTGCCATACAGATACTATCAATGATATCCATCTCTATTTTCCCTCTGGCATGTTTTGAGTGTCCTAGCATGCAAAGATGTGTGGGGATCAGTAAGCGAGCAGCAGCCATGCCTTAAGACATCTTCTGAATACAGCCTTGAAAATGTAAATTCATGACATAGGAATGGCTCCTTTTTTGTGCAGCTAAGCCACACCATGAACAGAATCATAGATTTGTCCTTCTGGATCTCTTATCAGCTCTTCAGATGCGAAACAGAAAATGGTGGCTTTGCCTGCCCATATAAACAATTCCTTCTACTATCTCTTTCTAAGCCGATTGTTTGACCAGAGGGAGCAAGGAATCACTGCTGGACAGCCAGAACATAAATACAGATTGCAGGAAATGTTTACAATGATACTTAATTGTATTAAATATTAATAAAATACGATTGCATCGAATAAGGCTTTGTGCTTAATCTGTGGATTTTGCAGGCTTTGGTCAGAAGACTGGAAAATGGGAGCAAGTTTATCTCTTAGCAAAGAATTCAGGTAGAACACTGCATGCTGGCTTTGCCTTAGGTCTAAATAAGTAACAAGGTCACAAGCTAAAATACATTTTATTAAACGAATGTGAAACGTTGCAGGTAGGCATCAAAATTATTCCAGGTGATGGAGTCCATAAAAGCTCTGCACTCAGAAAAAAATTTAATATCAGGGATAAGTGTAGATCCTGTTTCCATGATGTGCTGCACTTTTTATTACATGCAAATCTTAAAAAGAAGGGTTGGGGGTCGGAAATCACTGAAATATTTATCTCTCAATCGTAGTGTGAAGCAAGGTTGGTCCAATGGGTTGCAAGGGCTCTTTAAGATGCCGCATTCACCTTGGGAGACTATATCTTAATTCTGGTTAGTGGCAGCTGGTGCTGGACCATTATCTTTGTTTTCATTAATGCATCAGATGCGAAACTCATCCCAAGTAATATGGAGCAAGATGAACCGTAGCCATGGCCCCTTTCTTCCTCCAAATGCCTAGGAATTACTCCAAAGTCAGAATAGTCCGGAATATAAAATCCTGATGGCCATAGAACAAATGAATTCATAGAAGTTGTTGCAAGGGCTCAAGGAATCAATTATGTTGTTGCTCCCGTGGAGAAGTAACCCAATCTGGTAAGAGTAGACCGTGCAGTTTTGTGATTAGGGACCCCCTTTCTCAGAAGACAAGACAAGAGACGGGTGAACTCAACAAGGGAGACCGTCGCCTTTGATCGGCAAGACCTGAACAAGGCTGTTAATGGCAGGACGTTTGGGAGCACAATCATTCATTCAGTTGCCAGAAGTCAAAAGTGACTTGAGGGCAAACACCGCAACAACTCTTGACAAAAACAGAAGACAACACAACGAACGCTGGCTGTTCAAGCAACAACTCCCGACACACTTACAGACCTCTTGCTCTTTCTTCAGGGCCTCCATGGCTTCCCGAAATTTCCTCTCCTTGGCTTCCATTTCAGCAATAGTGGCTTGGTTCTGCTCTTCATACGCCATGGCCACCACAGCCAAGATCAAGTTGACTAAGTAAAAAGAGCCCAGGAAGATGACCAGCATGAAGAAGAGCATGTAGATCTTGCCAGCAGATCTCAGGGTCTGGATTAAAAAATAAAATAGAAATGCTGAGTTATTTAAAAAAAGGCTTACTAGATTTTGCTGCAAAACTTTATGAGACATGGTACTGCTAGGACTTCATGTGTGTCTTCTAGAGATGACTCATAATGGAAAGGATCAGGCTGGAGAAGACATGGCAGTCTTGGCACCTTCAAGCACGCCTTCAAGGCTTGGATAAAGGAGGAGGATGTGGAGAAGGGCAGACCAAAATGGCTTGAACACAGGCAAAGCTCTCCCACCTTGGAGAATGTCTCTTCCCTAGATCTCACAGAATTTTTTTCTCTCCAGGGAAAGCCATGTAGGAAGAGTTGTACTCTCCCCTACACAGACTTTGAAAATCCACTATATACACATATACCACCCTCCACACAGCTGGGTGAGTCTTCACTTAGTCCTATGAGGTATCCCCTTTACTTATCCCAAGGCAGCAAAAACTGAGATCTCAACAGAACCACTTTGTCTGGAAGATATACATGTATACCACCTTCCACACAGCTGGATGAGTCTTCATTTAGTCCTAGGAGGTATCCCCTTTACGTATCCCAAGGCAGCAAAAACTGTGATCTCAACAGAACCACTTTGTCTGGAAGAACTCCTCAGAAATGAGAGAACATTATACCAGCTGCATCCACCTTTATTTTAAGATAACGACAGTTCTCCTTAAGAAGCACCAGTTTTTTTTTCATGCACAAGCATTAATTAGGTATGTAGTGTGCAGTCAATTGAAACTTAACAGTGATCCTCCCACCGTTTGCTAGGTATAAAGTACTCGAAAGTGGTTTATCAGTCCTCCTTCCTAGTGGTGTTCTGGGAATGTACAGCTTGCCCAAGGCCACCCCAGCGGCAGGGCGCATAGGTTCAACAGTTACACATGCTCCTGGCTGGCTCCTCTCCCAGGAAGCAGAGTGGGGATTTAAATCTGTAGCCCACAAATTCCACATGGAGATGCTCCAACCCACTACAAGCTCTTATACATGCACATATACCGTCACCCCCCCCAAAAAAAAACTCACAATAAATTCTTATTCCACTCCTGAGTATCACTGAACGACAGGCACTGGAGAATAAATCTATTAGCCAGAGGAGAAATTTGGCCATTAAATCAGAAGAAGCTGCCACCTGCATGGCCCATACTATGGATCAATTTAATTCAGGATCGTCTACATCTGGGTGACCAGCGTGCAGGTTGCATGAGCCCCATTGGAGTGGGTGAGGCCCTCCATGGTTTAAAGAAAAGCATGTGCGATCTCTGGAAATTATCGACTCTCACCTACAACTAACAGCTCCCCATGATTTCAGGTTTCAGCAAAGAATAAAAAGAGATGCTCAGAACTGAACTGGGAAGCTTTCGCATCCAAGACATGTGATCTTACCACTGAACTATCCTTCCTCCCCATATCTGCCAGGGCCTATAAGGCAATTCATCTTACCTGCCCTAATCTTGTCAAAAAGCATGTGCATAAATCTATTTATCTGTTTGTTGCCCCAATGCAAACATCTGCATTGTGGGCTCTCCGTTGGTCCCCTTTCCCTTCTCTATCTGAAGTGCAAATTATTCCCTGAAGTAAACTATTTGGCAGTGTTTCCCTGTATGGCAAAGTTCCACAGATCTACCGGATTTCCATAGCGTGATGTATTATGAGTTTATGGAATCTAAGCATGTAATTTAATGGGGGGGGGGGAGGACAACATGTTGCATTTCCTTGAGTTCTATTACCAAACCTGTTGACTAGCTGGTAGTAGCTTTCTGATGATGACAATGATAAAGCTATATACAAGAACCGGAACATATTCCAATGCAGTCACACAATGGCCTCTTCAACCATTGTGTTTGGCGGAGGGGAGCTGCCACCCCATCATCCCAGCCCCATATAAGTGAGATGCAACCCTACGGCCAGGAACAAATGCATTTACTCCATAAGCATCTTTGAAACTGGAGGAGTCTCTGAATCACTCGGAGCAGCCAGGCCCTACCTTGATATCAGCACATGCTGTAAGCAAAGATAGTGCAATTCCTCAGAAATTGGCAGATCGTATCTAGACCTTAATCTAGCAAATGAAAGAAACTCATCATCCAAACTGATCAGCTGATTCAGAGTAAAAAAAAAAAAAACTGCCCTGTCAGCCCAAACCTCCTACATGAAAGGCTTCTTCCCTAATTTTCAAATCAGGGCTACATCATAATGTGAGTTACGGGAGAGGAGATCAAAATAAAATGTCTCTCTTCATCTAGCTATGCTATTCATACATCGCTCCAAGGTTACATCATAATGTGAGTTATGGGAGAGGAGATCAAAATAAAATTTCTCTCTTCATCTAGCTATGCCATTCATACATCGCTCCAAGTACAAGGGAGCCGTCTGCCATGACCCCGCGGGTCTTCTGCAAAAGGAAACACGCCAACGTGTCTGTGTGGTTCCCCTCCCCTCCTTCTCACGTCAAAGAAAATTGCAAATTTAATTTCGTTGCGGAAAAAAGAAAAATTCCTACCTGTTGGTAGAGGCGTTCCCAATAATCTTGTGTCATGAGGCGGAACAAGGAGAGGAAGGCCCAGCCGAAAGTATCAAAGCTTGTGAAGCCGTGGTCAGGATTTTCACCAGCCCTGAGACACCGATACCCTTTCGGACATGATCTGGAGAGGAAGAAAGGTCAGAATCATGAGGAGTCAAGGCCGGCCATCATGTGTCGGGTGTCACGGTTCGCCAGCCATGCTTTCTTCTTTACAGCCACTCAGCCACACTGCTCTTGTTTGCCCAGGTGTGAGAGAGCCCAGGGGACTTAGATGTGGTGAAGACTCTGGACGTTTGACTGGAGCTGTATGCTTCTCAACACCTGCCTTGACTCCTAGACTCAGAAGTGCTCCAGAGAGATTAACACAAAAAAATTCCCAAGGCCAGGCACTAAGAACTAGCACGCCAACCCTGCAAGGTAGCTGCCACTAATCTCTCACACACAAAGAATCGCAGCACCTGGCTGAGACAAGGACTGGTTTTAATACCATCAAACTTCGAAGGAAGGAAGGAAGGAAGGAAGGAAGGGCAAAAAGTGTAGAAGTTCCAAACCTTTACAACAAGGTTTCAAAATGGAGGAGGGACGAAACAGAGAAAGCAAGGAAGGAAGGAAGGAAGGAAGGAAGGAAGGAACGGCAAAAAGTGTAGAAGTTCCAAACCTTTACAACAAGGTTTCAAAATGGAGGAGACAGGCTTGAAAGCGTTCAAGAAGAACGAATACCAGAAAATAATAACTAATCTACCTTATCTATACTCACACCAGAGTGGAGAGATACTATAGCATGCGAAGAGTGCATAATCCCAGCACAGCTTCACAAGACATCAAATGGACCCAGTTCCTCCTTTTGAGATTGGCTGATTCCCTTCAAGACATTACTGAGCAGCAGGGAAGCAAAGCATTTATCTCCACAGAGACATACTAGGGTAACTACTGTGTTTCCCTGAAAATAGGACAGGGTCTTATATTAATTTTTGCTCCAAAAATGCATTAGGGCTTATTTTCAGGGGATGTTTTATTTTACAGTCCTGTCATCTTCTGGTTGCTGCACAAGGGTGGAGGGCGTGGTTCCACTTCACTGGGGCTTATTTTTGGGGTAGGGCTTATATTACAAGCATCCTGAAAAATCATACTAGGGCTTATTTTCAGGTTAGGTCTTATTTTCAGGGAAACAGGGTAACTAGTTTTTCTAAACCCTTTTTATGGGCCATTACATAGCAAAACCTTAAATCCATTCATGTTCCATCATGACCTGCTGCTACACACCCCTGAAATCTGCCTAACTTTCTGAGAAGAAATCAGGTTGACTTAAAGGGTTACAGGTAAGAGGTAAGCTTTGATATGCCTCCTGATAAAGATAAGCAAGATATCTACTGCTGGATAGCACAGTGCTTTAGGTCTCTGGCTACAGAGCCAGAGGCTGGGTGTTCAGTTCCTCACTTGACAATCCCTCTTTGACAGGGGCTAGACTTGATGACCCATAGGGTCCCTTCCAGCTCTGCACTTCTAAGATAATGGTGATGATGATTACAAGCAGAGCTCCTTGTTCAGCCCTTTTGTTAAAGTGTTCAACAGCAGGAGATGAGTTGAAGGTGTGAATGGTCTGTTTACATTCTGACTTCTTGCCTGTGAGGTCAGCTTGTCAGATGCTCACAGAAGCACAGAAGAGTCCAGCAGCCGAATTCCGTATTTCATGTACCCCAAGTTCTTATCACATATGGCAATCTCACATAGAAAAGACATGCCACATATTGACATGCAGTTAAAAATGATAAAATAATTGTTTTAATTGCTAACATGCTTCTGAAGGGACTGTGCATAGAAAACATCTGTTTGCCTTGTTTTGTATGTTCATTTGGTGCGGCCTTTGGACTATATCTCTTAAAAAAAACTCTAGCCAATCAAAATTTAACTCTGGAATATGTGCTTGTTGATACGTGCATATACACATATGCACATCCATACAAACAAAAAGTAGCTCCATCTTTTGTACATAACCAGAGAATGTTAGTGAAATGCAGGGCTGACCCACAACATATTACTGCTTGAAGCAGACCACCAAACGGTGCAGGCACCCACATGAGTGTGCAAACACACCCTGCTGGGTCAATACTGCAAAAACTCTGCTAACACCACTTGGAACTTTTGCCTCCATCTGTATTTTTCTTATTGGCTGAGCCCATCAGTTCCTTCTGCTGCATTAGCTGGCCTTTGAGAATATATCTGAGATCAGCTATGCTGGCTGTAGGATTCTGGGAGTTGTAGTATTGGGGTTGGTTTTTTTTAAAGGCATTGCTCCAGTCTCTGGAATACCTATATACTGGCATGAGACAATGGTTGCATCTCATTTCACTGCCATATTCTTTTTCAATATGCCATCTCTTTCTCATCCAAATTCTCCAGAGCTTTGAACACTGGGTTAGACCCACACTGGAACTCCAGTTCATAGGAACCAAACTGGGACAGAGGCAAGCGGAGGGGGGTAGGGTCTGACATTTAATAGGGCAGCAATAGAAGCAATTTTCTGTCCTTTTCCTCATTGAATAGCTGGAAAGATCCCCCCCCCCAGCGTTGTGGGCTGGGGTACTATCAAAATCAGATGTCTGAAAACATCAAAGCCAGCTGGGTCAGAATAATTAAACATTACCAGGAAGCTGCCCTATTGCAGAAGGCCAGCATGACTTTTGTCGTTCCAAAAGTCATGCCCACTGTTACCACTCAGGGACTCCCTGACCGGCTGCCGTAAAACTTGGGGATTCCCCGAAAAGCTTCAATCTTGGAAAGAAACCTATATGATTTGACTCAATTATTTTCCTCTATAGATTTTTCAAAGCAGTCTTGTTTGGAAAGGGTATGAGCCTCGGGGAAAAGAAAGATGTCTAAGTTATCAGCGTATCTGTTTATTTGCAGAGCTGCCATACTCCATTAGCATAAAGCATTTTTCTAGAGGAACATCCTCCAGGACATCACACAATTAATCACAATAAAGATTACAGCGCTATTGATTAAAGACAGTTTAACAGCATCAATCTACCCGTCCATCCACCAGGCGCATGGACAAAAACACAGGCTGACACCAGCATGAGACATTGAAAAGATCTCGTTGTTAAATTAACAAATTAGCCATCCCATACTTTAATACAGGGCAAATAGGACTGGCCTGTGTGGCTTTGCAAGAAGACGGGACAAAGGTGTGGAAGGTTGCCCACCCTTTAACCATGAAAAAGCATAGTGGAACCTCCATGCTGTGTGGCAGTATACCTTTGAAAACACTAATACAGTGGTGCCTCGCTAGACAGTTACCCCGCATGAGAATTTTTTCGCTAGAACATTGACTTTTTGCAATCGCTATAGCGGTTCGCAAAACAGTGATTCCTATGGGGGAATTTCGCTGGACAATGTTTGGTCCCTGTGTCGCAAACCAATTTTCGCTAGACGATGATTTTCACAGCTCCCTCTGCACTCGCAAAACGGGTGTTTTCGGGACCTAAGCTTCGCAAGACACTGATTTAAACAGCTGATTGGCGGTTCACAAAGCGGCTTTCCTATAACCGATCATCACTAGACAACGACAATTCTTCCCATTGGAACGCATTAAACAGGTTTCAGTGCATTCCAATGGGGAAATGCTTTTCACTAGACAATGATTTCGCTAAACAGCGATTTCAGTGGAACGGATTATCGTTGTCTAGCGAGGCACCACTGTATTGGGGGGGACAAGCTCTGTAGCCATTCTTGTCAGCTTCTTTAAAGCATTGGGCAGCAACACGATGCCAAACTAGATCAGAGCTTGGCAGACAGCTGGGGCATTGTTAGAACTGCAGTTACTTTTCCAAACTCCAGAATTTTAGAAGGTTTTAAAGCCGGCACATCCACTGCAAAACCCTCACTTTTTGCAGCATACTTTGTATCTGGTGACAGCTTTTAGCAATCAAAGATGAAGTATTTTGCATGCTAAAAAAAAATCAATAAATCTCCTTTTGCATAATGTCTAACAGGTGCCTGGATTTTTTTTGTCTTTTGTTTTAATGCGCTTATTGGGATTTTCTAAGGAAACGCTGCAACAACAACAGAAATAGTTCCCTAAAGAGATTTTAAAAATAGCATTGAGATTTACTGGAGAACTTTCTAAGGCCTTGTTCTCCTTCTAAATTACCTGTATTTATAGACTGAGGTGAAACAATATATTCACAAACTTGCAAAGAGAAATACATCATCCTAGTACAGAGCATTTTTTTTTACTTTGGTCTCAATCTATAAAGGAAAATTAGGGTCCAAGAGAGGATAACGGTAATTAAGGTTTCTATGGCAACTATCACTAGGATGCGGCTGTCAAAGGGGCTTCACGTTTCTTCAGGTCGCCCCTGTCGCTTGATAGATCCTTCCTTGGCGTTTCCTGAAGCAAATTTTCGGACATTTTGCAAATTTCAACGGAGGGAGAAGATCAATGGATTTTTGGACCCCTGAAAACAGGCTGCAGGATGGCCTCGCCATCCTCTCAGCAGGCATCTGGCTGGGGTCAGCACTTTCAAGAGGTCTAAAGGCTAATCCCTTCCCCGCTGACCCTGGAGGGCCCCAGCCATCCCCACAAAAGGTTCCCCTTGACAATTTTTGTCCAGTCGTGTTCGACTCTAGGGGGCGGCGCTCATCCCGCTCTTCAAGCCATAGAGCCAGCATTTGTCCCAAGACAATCTTTCCGTGGTCACATGGCCAGTGTGATTTAGACACGGAACGCTGTTTACCTTCCCACCGAGGTGGTCCCTATTTATCTACTTGCATTTGCATGCTTTTGAACCGCTAGGTTGGCGGGAGCTGGGACAAGCGACGGCAGCTCACTCCGTCGCGTGGATTCGATCTTACAACTGCTTGGCCTTCTGACCCTGCAGCACAGGCTTCTGCGGATTAGCCCGCAGCGCCACCACATCCCCACAAAGCCCCCCCAAAAAACCCAAAGTTACTTCTAAAATGACTTTAAAAGGCCTCCCTCCACCCATTATTTCACCAGGGTTTTAAGGTTCCCCGGACTTGTTTTCGATAAGGCTTTTTTTTTTCCAGAATGGGAAGTGACTGCTGATGTCACTTCCCTACCTCGACCTAGACGACATGAGGGAAGTTTTAAAGTCAACGCATGCACACAAACCTTGGGACTGTGGGAGAGCTTGGGAGCCACTCTGAGTGAAACTCTGGAAGCCTCTCCTTTCCATCCTTGGTTTACAGACTTGTAGACCAGAGGTTCTCAACCTTGGGTAACCCAGGTGTTCTTAGCCTGCAAATCCCAGAAGCCTTAACCACCAGCTATGTTGGTTGGGGCTTCTGGGATTTGCAGTCCAAGAACACCTGGGTTACCCAAGGTTAAGAACCACTGTTGTAGACATCTCTATCTATTCTGAAGGACTCTGACACCATGTTCCTGACACTAGGCGAGCTGATGTCAAGCACATCTTCGATTCCACAGACATTGGACAGAATAAATTCCTCATGGTACTATGGAAGCGTGCTACCACATCCTCTCCACCATGACCTATGCGCCTTCCTTTAATGTGTACAAGGACACTTCAGACATGTGAAGAGGTCTCCTGTCCATCTACAGAACTTAGGTTTCCCTAATTACCGATCCTTTGGAGTATGTTCCGATGGACTCTAAAAACATGTTTAATTTTCCTGCCGTTTCTGGAGGGAGAACGCTAGAATTAATCATCAACCAATTTCTTCTTCGAGTTTCTGATCTTTCTCTCCCCCACTTCCATTTTCTTTTTCATCCCTTATTTTTAAAGCCTTTAATCCACGATACCAAACACATTATCAAATTTCTGGGTGGAGTGCGGGGGAAGGCTTAATGGACTCTGGATTAATTGAGAACGGACTCTGAAAGAACATGCCAGTCAACAAGCAAGACCCATCATCTTTTCTTCCCTGCTGTTTGAGAAATGGTATTATCATGCCTCTTAAGTTTCATCATCATCACAGCTTCAATTAAGGCTGACCCTCTGAAGGGGAGAGTCCTATCCTCTTGCGGCCAGGTGGTAGCTGAACACATGAGCTGGAGCTATTAACTAAGTTATCTGAACATCGGATGAAACACACTTCTTAACTTGTGCTGCACATTCCCATTGAAACCAACAGGTCAAGTCCCATGGCCTTCAATGGCAACTCCACTCAACTCCCTGACTCTGTGTTCAATCCTAGATTTGTAGGGACTGGGAAGGGGCAATTAAAAATGGTGAAGGAAAGAAATATTCCCCAAATCTCAAACAAGACGGTTTCATACACTCTTCTCTAAACACCATTCTTATAGACGGTTTGTTGGACTGCTTTGAAACTTTAATTCCAAACAGCATTAATACTAACATCAATGCCGAAGTCAACAAAGCAAAAGAGACAGAAGAAGAAGAAGAATTTGGGGTTGGGGAATGGAGGAGGAGCATCTTCCTGTTTACTTCTCCCTCCTTCCCTGCTTCATCCATCCATCCATCCATCCATCCATCCATCCATCCATCCATCCATCCAATCAATCAATCAATCAATCAATCAATCAATCAATCAATCAATCAATCAATCAATCAATCAATCAATCAATCAATCAATCAATCAATATCTCATCTTCTACTTTTGTGGGATCCAAAGTGGGATAAAATGTAAGTTTAAAAAACAGATCCAAAGGACACTATTAAAAGAGTATTAAATTGATTTTCGGATTAAAGCCAACACTTAAGTTAAAACATTTTTGTTTTAAAAACAATGATTTAAAAACAAACCACAATAAAAATCAAAGAATAAAACCATCATTGGAGGGTCTTGATCTGTGGGCAAAATCTAGGCATGAGGAGGGCACGACAGAAAGAAAGGCAATCTTAAATAAATATCAACTAATCTTAAATAGTACTCACCCAGCATCTGAACTGTTCCCACACAGCAATGCATCTCCAGTGCCTTCTTTAATGAAGTGGTTGTCTGTAATACAAACAAAACTCTTGTCAACTTCCAGCACTCTTTTTGATGATGATGATGATGATGATGATGATGATGATGATAATAATAATAATAATAATAATAATAGTAATAGTAATAGTAATAGTAATAGTAATAGTAATAGTAATAGTAATTATTGTTACTATTGTTACTATTGTTACTATTGTTACTATTGTTACTATTGTTACTATTGTTNAATAATAATAAAGGAAGGCAGAAACAAAATTCAAAAAGCTCTTGATAGGCTTGAGCAGTGGACTGAAAACAAAATCATGAATTTTAATAAGGATAAGTGCAAAGTTCTACACTGGAGTGAGGGGAACAAACCCGTTACAATATGTGACATATTTGGCTCATTAATACTACCAATGAGAAGGATCTTGCAATTGTTGTAGACCATAAGCTGAATATAAGCCAACAGTGTGATACAGCTGCAGAAAAGGCAAATGCTATTTTACGCTACATTAACAGAAGTATAATGTCCAGGTCCGATGAAGTGCTGGTTCCCCTATATCTGACATTAGTTAGACCTCATTGTGCATACTGTGTCCAGTCCTGGACACTGCACTTTCAGAACGGATGCTGACAAACTGACACATGTTCACAGGAAGACAACAAGCATGATCAGGGGACTGGAAACCAAGCCTTATGAAAAAAAGAAGGCAAAAACTGAGCATGGTTTGCCTTGAGAAAAGAAGACTGAAAGGAGATATAATAGTGCTTTTCAACTACTTGAAAGGCTGTCATTCAGAGGAGGGGCAGGATCTGTTCTCAATCATCCCTGAGTGCAGAACATGTAATAAAGGGCTCAAGTTACGAGAAGCCAGATATCAGTTGAATACGTATCAGGAATTGATTGCCAACTGTTAGAGACCAGTATGATAATGGAACCAGTTACCTTGAGGGGAGGCAAGCGCTCCAACACCGAAGGTATTCAAGAGAAAATTAAACAATATGTAAGATATACTTTGATTTAGATTCCTTCATTAAGCAGGGGGTTGACCCCCCCGAAGAATTAATGCTTTCAAGTTGTGGTGCTGGAGGAGGCTCTTGAGAGTCCCCTGTGCTGCAAGGAGAACAAACCTATCCATTCTGAAGGAAATCAACCCTGAGTGCTCACTGGAAGGACAGATCCTGAAGCTGAGGCTCCAATACTTTGGCCATCTCATGAGAAGAGAAGAGAAGACTCCCTGGAAAAGACCCTGATGTTGGGAAAGTGTGAAGGCAAGAGGAGAAAGGGACAACAGAGGACGAGGTGGTTGGACAGTGTCCCCGAAGCGACCAACATGAATTTGACCCAACTCCGGGAGGCTGTGGAAGACAGGAGGGCCTGACGTGCTCTGGTCCATGGGGTCACGAAGTTGGACATGACTTAATGACTAAACAACAACAACAGAGAGGAAACTGAGGACACTTTTGCATTCAGACCTCATTTTGCGCTAAAAGAGCGACCGAAAAACAACATTTCCAACCCGAATAATACAAAAGCACCCTGCGAGACTCTTATTTCCAAAGAAGCAGCATTGTTTTATAATCAATAACGGGAAGCTCCCTTTAAAAAATAATAAAAGATTATTCTCATCCATCTTTTCTCTCCACCAGAGAGGCATTGGGTGTGATGGTGTTGAATAGAGCTTAGCTGTCTCTGGATGTGACAAGGCGCCTGTAAAGCAAAACAGCATGACCACGGCAGGAAAGAATGTGCTACAAGATGCCTCGTTCTGGTTACAAGAGAGATAAAAGATAAAAGGGCCATTCAGGGGCCCCCTCCCTCCCCCAGCAGAGGATGGTTCCATTCAAGGCGAAATCAACGCTGGGGAAATGTGAAGAAAGGTGTCAATTCCAGACAGTTCCTTATCTCTCTTTATGGGGTTAGCGAGGAACTGCTTGGCATATAAGCAGCGACATGCATGGTATAATCCTGCAGAAGTAAAGAGAGTTGTACCACTTGAGGCTACAGGTGGTCTATCCCCAACATCCAAATTTTCCATAAACATTTATGTTTAAAAAACAACAACAACAGCAGCAGCACATTTCCCTGAAAAGGAAAACCTAGCTCAGAACAGCACAGATGTCCCTGTTTTGTGCTTTCTCCTTGGGCTACTAGTCCTCATGCTAGAGGAAGGGTGGGTTGCTTGGTTCCCCCATTTTTTTAATGGGGGAAACACAAAAATGATATCCGTATCACCAGTTCAGAATTTAGGCTCCTCATTATACAGAACTGCACGTTACACAGGAGATAGCAGACTGAAATTCTGAATCGTACCTGCAGGATTAATAATTGAACCAAGGTGTACAAAATATTTCACTGTTTCAATTTTTTTCACTGTCAACTCTAAAGTTGTATAGCCCTTCTGTAGTGATGATGTTTTTGTCCTCTCAAGGTTCAATGGCTGTCCTACTTCAGCACTTTCTTCTTTCACTTATCCTAAAAGTCAATTCAAATCATTCCTGCTTTCTGACAGTAAGAGGGTGTCATCTGTGTATCTTGAATTACTGATGTTTCTTCCACCCATTTCCACTCCTCCTATATCTGAATCTAGTCCAGCTTTCCATATGTTCTGGACACAGATTGAACAGAGCATGGGGATAAAATGGACCCTTCTCTGACCTATCTGTCAATTGTTGTTGTTTAGTCATTGAATCATGTCCACCCTTCTCTGACCTGTCTGTCAATTGTTGTTGTTGTTTAGTTGTTAAGTCATGTCTGACTCTTCGTGGCCCCAGGGACCAGAGCATGCCAGGCCCTCCTGTCTTCCACTGCCGCCCGGAGTTGGGTCAAATTCATGTTGGCCGCTTCGGTGACACTGTCCATCCATCTCGTCCTATGTCATCCCCTTCTCCTCTTGCCCTCACGCTTTCCCAACATCAGGGGCTTTTCCAGGGAGTCTTCTCTTCTCATGAGATGGCCAAAGGATTGGAGCCTCAGCTTCAGGATCTGTCCTTCCAGTGAGCACTCTGGGTTGATTTCCTTCAGAATGGACAGGTTTGTTCTCCTTGCAGTCCAGGGGACTCTCAAGAGTCTCCTCCAGCACCACAATTCAAAAGCATCAATTCTTCGGCGGTCAGCCTTCTTTCTGGTCCAGCTCTCACTTCCAGACATCGCTACAGGAAAAACCATAGCTTTGACAATGCAGACCTTTGTCGGCAGGGAGATGTCTCTGCTTTTTAAGATGCTGTCGAGGTTTGTCATTCTGTCTCTCCATTAGCAACTTTTACAATTGCAAAGTGTGTGTGACCTCACTACATAGACGAGTTTGGTACCACAGGCAGCAGCTTGTAGCTTTCTGATTATTTTCTGAACTAATTATGTTGATAACTAACCATTTGTGCAGATTCTGAAGCTGAAATCAATTACTTTTAGAGCAACTTTCCAATTGTGATTGAATTCAACGGGTTGTGCATGCAAACAGACAAGCAGTGCACTCAGGCCTCAAACAGTCAGAGGAAACCATACATTTATCTCCTCCTTTCTAATCTTGTAACTCACGTCTTGTTTGCTCTGGACAAGACCTGTCGACTAATTTTGAAAGTGACAGTAAGAACACACTACTTAATCCGAAATAATGTTTTCAACAAAACTTTACGGCTCTGTCAGCCATAATGTAGCATTAGTTTTTTGGTTTTGTTTTTTTTTTTAAACTTTACAGGGATTCCCGACCTTGCTCCAGTAGGGCAAAAGAGGGGCAGTGGTTTACGAGAAAGCAAGGAAAGAACATGATCCTTACATTGGGTGCACCTAAGCACAGAAGCAGATTATCCTGCAGATGGAATTGAGGTTAGCAGTGGTTTACAAGAGAGCAAGGAAAGAACGTGATCCTTACATTGGGTGCACCTAAGCACAGAAGCACATTATCCTGCAGATGGAATTGAAGTTAGCCAGGTTCTCAAAGAGATGCCCTTTGACTTCCTTTTCTGCTTCCGGCCCTCAGAAACCTTCCTCCCTACCTTTTGCAGATGGATTATCGGGAACAGGCCTTCCACAGATCACGGAACGTTCCTTCCCTCCGGCAAGAACTCAACCTCATCTCAAGCAGAGGTGTAAAATCTGTTGGCGCGTCGCCGCCGCCGTCAGAATAATTGGGTTCGAAAACCAGCTTTCCAAGGGACAAAGGCGCCTTAGTCACAGCTTCTCGACTGCCTTGTGCAAGGCAGAACGATACCAAAGAGGAAATTACGTAGGTGAGAGACCAGATGGCCTTTGGGATGGCAAAGAAACTCAGCCTTGCAGGACAATCGGGGAGAAAAAGCTTCCCGTTGCTTGTCAACAGAGCCTGTTCCTCGAAGAATCTCTCGCATCCACCTTCTTCACAGCTGCTGTTACTCACTGGGTGCCCTTGGGAAAACCTCTCTCTTTCTTATCTCTGGACTCACCATTACCACCATAATGTAGGCATAATCATGTAGGAATAATAATAATAATGTAGGAACAATAATCACATAATAATGTGACAAGCCAATATCACAGAGTGTTTTAATGATCATCGAGGTCATGGATATGGAGTGTTACACAGTATTGGACTGAGATGGGGAATCCTTGTCACGTTAGACTTAAGTCGCGCCGGTGATCCGACTTGCAATTCAGAACCCACCCACCCTTCCCTTTTTTTTCCTGGGGGGCAAAAGCTTGTTTTTAATACAGACCCAGGCTTAGAAGTTGGAACTTGGTACCAAAGACTGAGATCTGGACTTGGGACTCATACTCAAAGATCGATCTGCCAACATCCCTGGTATTAGATCAGAGTTTGGGAATGTTACTTTTTGGAGTTGAAGCCCCTCAAAAAGTACTGTTTGTTTTTTTCTATGCAGTGATTGAGATTTTAAACCTGTGGGCCAAAGAGTCACATAAAGGATTGGGGAACTGATACTATCCCGTCATTTTGGCATGCCACAGATGATGGCATACAGGGCACCCACAGGACCCAGACATTAAAAAAGAATTCATTTTTTTAGGTGCTCACATTTCGTTTTTATCCAGCCCC